GGTTTTGATATCAATGAGGATGGACTGACAGGTCGTCTTTGTGAGTGAAAGGACGAGCTGTTGGGGAATCGCTATCTACTGACTTCCTAATGAGCAGACAATGGTTTTTTGGGAAAGCAAAGTATTTGATCTCTTCTATGTATGTTTTGTCTTCTGCATACATACACACCAGTGCTTAGTGCTATTTTTTAGGAAAGTGTTCATATTTAGGGCGCTCGACTGTAGCTCTCTTCTTATGGCTTCAGTTGCACTTGCTTGAATACGCTAAAGAAATCCATCTCTTGTCTATTTAGTTGCGGGTGGTAAGATAGCATGTCGACAGAAAAGGGAACAAGATTCCTTTAAATTGAACTTTTTTTTGTCTGGTTTCATCAACCATGGGAGGCGACGTTGGCAGTCTTGGTAATTCCTGACGGGAATGTGTGTCTCTTTTTCAGTCACTTTGAAAAGCATTCACTCGAATAGGAGGTGTCCTTGTCTTCGAAGTTGAGGCAGGCTCGTGGCGTAGTTTTTCCTGGCTGCTATCAAAATATTAAGAGTAGACAAGAAGTGCTTATAAGGTGCTCTAGTTGGATTTGTTTGTTGTGGCTACATTTACTCTGTACTTGACGGAGCCTTAGCTGGTCCCATTGGTCAAGGTCGGAGAGAAGTTGGGGTTTTTCTTGTAGTGCAAAATGAACCAGAAAATGGCACTGTGGTAAAGCGGTTTGGAGAGTTTAATTTGACTTCCGCATACCTTCTGAGGCATCAATGTTTCACCGGATTTGAATGATCTTTTTAAATCGTCTTTTTTTAGCTCTTGGCCGGCCAGTAATCTACTTTATCGCGCTTATCGACATTCTCACCCGCTATGGCATGCGTAAACGCACCGCACAGACGTACAAAACAGTTAAACACGGTGGCGCCAATGCCGATCAGATAACTACAGTGCGTCCCGAGGTGTACGGTCGACGTCTACTTGACTTTCTTCGCAATTGCATTGAGTAGCTGTCAGCTCTAGTCCTATGCTTTTGTTTATTCTCTCAGTTTCT